GGGGGGGGGTCAGTTACATGAGGTTGCCAGACAGTAAACAACTTAAGTTCTTGCTTTCCCCATTAAGAGTTTCCAGAGATAAGGCCATCCCCCATTCCTTCTCAAATGCAAATATCTCTCATCAAAGAGCAAGTAAATTCCAGTCCTTGGAGCCTGCTTTTCCTCTGCAAGTTTTAAAATTAACTAGCCTAAAATCCTCATCACTGTGTCTTTAATTTGATGCATCAGAGGTGTCCCTGCGTTCTATCTGTGTATTGGTTCCAAAGTTCTAGGCTTTCTTTACTCAGGATTATGTGAGAATGTGCTGTCCATCTTACCCCTAGCGAAGAAAATGGCTATACTCTGTGAAAAATGTCAGCCTTTCAAAGCACACGGAAACATGAGCTTACCATAAACTTATATACCAGAGTGGCCTCTACTATTTTTGTGTGGGAATAGTTATTATAGCCTATGTTTTTCTTTTTAGAATAAAGTCGAAGTTGGATTGCACAAAAGGCTAAGAGCATTTTAAAGCTTTTCTGATGTATGCAGACTATGACTCTGAACACATGAGTCTGGAAAAAGCATACAATTTTGTGCAGGATGGCGATTCCAAATGAAAAGGTAGAGTTGTAATTTTAGGTAGGAGTGGAATTTACTTCACAGAAAGCCAGGTGTATGCACTTGCTTTACCTTTTACAAGTTTTCCCTGCATTAAGAAAACAAATAAGTTTCTTTAGAAAGAATTATATACTTATTTCATTGAATACGGATACATTGTTTAGGCAAATTTCATAATAGTCATTCAATAAATGTTTGTTTAATAAATGAATCCGCAATAATAATATCTATGTCCATTGTTTTTAAATTTTTGGAGAATGTGAAAGATGGATGGATAACTGATATGAATCCACAAAAGGTCCTTAAAATAGTCAAACTATTTTAGTATCCATGAATTAAATTAAATATTATTTAGTCTTTTCAAAAAGAATTGTCAGAGAAGAGAATGAAAGAAGGAAAAATAAAACTGTTTTCTTCTGAGTGCAGACATTTTAAAGAAAAGAAATATTCAAACCTGTCTGATTTTATCTGCTCAGAGTTACGCTAAAATTTTATTTTGAATTGAACTAAAAAGTATTCAATTATACATCCTTTCTACTGAATAAGGCACATATTCTAGAAGACAGGTTATGTGCACATGAACTGTCTGTTAAATAAATGAATAGAGAAATTGATGATTCTGGGTACCTAAAGAGGAAGGAAATGTTGTTATCGTCCAACTTGATATGGCGCTCATCCTCAAAATAGACATAGAAGTTGGTTTCTGGCCAAATTAAATTTTAGAATGTGCTAAAGAATTATCAAAATATGCTTAAAGCCACATGAGCATTTGTTGACGTGGGTTGTATCTATTAATTTTTGCCACATAAGAAATGAAAACTTAGGCATTTAAAAAATATGTACTTATTTATTTAAACTTAGCAATAAGCCCATTGCGTATGTGTATAAATAATATATTTTATGGAAAATACATGTTCCCAAACCAAAAGAAAATTAGTGAGATGAGTGGCGTTGTTTTACGTTTTTGGAAACCTACTCACTGTCTTGTTTGATGAAAGACAACTGGATTCTCATCTGCTTCTACATTCAATCTGTTATGATATGTGATGTTGGTTGAAATATATAAAGAAAACTGGCCTAATATAGGTGTACAGCTGGAAGAGGGAGGAATATTTTAATAGCCTTCTCTGATAATTGTGTACAGTCTTTGTTACTGCACTGTGGGGACCTGGAATTGGCCACCCCAAGATATGTCTCTTTGGCATCAGGATTATTTGAGGCTGATTGTTTTTGATAAACTGGGACAGGGAAGGAGGCTCTGAGCAATGGAATTTGCCCTTTGTTAGGACACGTTTACATTTGTAAGGTAAATCTCTATCTGTAAAAGGTGCTTCCCTCTCTGTACCAGGAAGAAGAAAGGAGATGACCTTCTCTCTAGAAACTCTTCATCAATACCAAAGGCAAGGACTTAAATCTGCATTTTATTGTGCCTGTCTGGTAACCTCCTGTAACTGACTTCCCTCCCCCTCCCAACCTTGGCATTTCTTTAAGGATTAAGCATCTTTCCTTAGGAAAGGAACTGATTGCTGTGCTCACCTGTGACCGCCCAGCTCCAGACAATTGACTTGCCTCCTGCTACGCCAACCGAGGTAGCAGACCATTACCTGCTGTGTCCATCAAGCACTGTGCTGACAGGGCAATCTTGTGACTATTGTGGGAGGGACATTTCAATCACATGTGAAACACCCTGTTTGGGGGTATATAACCACTGTGTGCACCCCACTTCTTCGGTGCCCTTTCTTCCTTCGGGAAGAAAGGCCCCGGGCCATGGTTCCTCATAAAGCTTTGTTTAATTTTCTCTTGCTATTCTGTTTCATGTGAATTTAATTCATTCTCCGGCCAGACGAACCCACATTTGGGAAGAGGAAATGTCCTCCTCCCCTACAGCACCAAAACCCTAAAAGTAATAGTTCCTTGAAGGTTAAATGCAATGTGATCCGAGACCACAACAATGGACTACTGTGCTCTCCACACCCGTGAGAAAATAAGAATAAGAAGGCAAATAAATATTTTGGATTTTTTTCTGGCATTATTGAGACATAATTGATAAATAACATTGTGTAAGTTTAAGGTGTACAATGTGATGATGTGATAAATGTATATATTGAGAAATGATTATCACAATAAAGTTAGCTAACACATCCATCACCTCACACAGCTTCAATTTTTTTGTGTGTGGTGAAAACTTTTAAGATCTACTCTCTTAGCAACTTTCAAATATAAAATATAGTATTGTTAATTACAATCAGCATGCTGTACATTCCGCCCCCAGAACTTAATCACCTTATAACTGGAAGTTTGTACCTTTCGATGACCTTTACCCATTTCCCACCCCTCATCCCCAATACCCCCCGGCCCTGACAACCATCAATTTATTCTCTGTTTCTATGAGTTCATTTTTTTTAGGTTACACATATAAGTGAGATCAGACAGTATTTGTCTTTCTGGGGAAATCATAGCTCTAGGGGGCCCTCTCCATGCATTGCAGTGTCAGCCTTGGGGAGGGGTGATGTGGTCAGAGTGTATCTGCTCCTCCTGTCCTTCTCATGTGGTCTTTCTTGGTCTCTGTGGTCCAGGGGGTGCTTCCGCCTCATGCCGGGGTTCTGGGATTTTCTCAGTGGTGTCTTATCTATAAATAGATGCTAATTGGTCCTCCTATGAAGAGGCTGAAGTCAGAACAACCTATGTTACCATCTTGATGGTGCTACTCTCTGATTTTGGATTATTAAGAAAAATTTTGACGTTGCAGACTTCCCAGAAGGCTTTTGGGAGCCCGAGTTTTCTCCACACTATGCTTTAGAAACTTTTGTTTTAACCCACCATTTTGGTGTATTTGCTTGGAAGGTGTGCATCGAAAAGTGGAATTTTTAACATAGATGGTTTACCAATCCCAGCAGGTCTCCTTTGGAGATAGTAACAAATACCAAAATTGATACAGAAAGATAAAGAACTCAGAATAACCAAGGCCATCTTGAAAAAGAAGAATAAATTTGGAGACATTTACTCTTCATTTTAAGACCTTCTATAAAGCTATCATATAATCAGGACAGTGTGATTCAGGCATAAGGATATAATCAAGACACTAGATCTATGAAACTGAATAGAACCCATAAATAGGTCTGCATATATGCAGCAAAATTAATTTTGACAAATGTGACAAGGTAATTCAAAGGGGAAAGGAAATTCTTTTTAACAAGTGATTCCAGAACAACTGGATATCTGTATGCAAAAAACTGAACCTTGATCTACACCTAACGTGAAAATTGACAGATACTGTTACCGAGCAAGGGCTTGCCACCCAATGTGCACAGAAGCCAACGCCATGGCATACCAGCTTTTGAGGGAAAAAAGGCTTTATTTTGAGGCTTTGAGGGAATAAAGGCTTTATTTTGAGGTTGATTCACAAGGAGAGAGGAAGCCAGCTCTCAAATCTGTCTTGCCCGTCCAAAGTCCAAGGTATGGGGTAAAGTCTAAGGGATTATGGAGGGCCATCTGGTATGCGGAAGCACTGGCAGGATGAGTCTTGATTGACAGGTCAAAATTTTCTCGTCTGCACATGCTTCTGGCTGGCTCCTAGCCCCTGAAAAATAGCTTTAATATCCTGTTAAGATGGGGTCAGTTATGAGAAATTATTGGGAAAAGTACAGTAAACAAGGATAAAGTTGTCATGCAGATTTAAGTCATTGCCTTCTCCACTGATAAGAGTTTCTAGAGATTCAGAGTCATCCTCCTCTTCCTAGCACAGAGTGGGAGATGTTACAAATGGAGGTTTCTCCTGTAAATGTAAATTTCCCTTACAAAAGGGTAACTTCTACTAGGTTTTCAGAGGTTTTCCTGTTTCTGTTGTTTTTTAATCATCATCAGCTTAATATAGGTGTTGTGGCAAAGAGGCTTGCTTTGGGGTGGTAAATTCTGTTCCTGGTCCTGTGGTTACAGCACTGATAGATTCCAGGCAAAATTTAAAAGGTAGAATTATAAAGCTTCCACAAAATAAAAAGGAGAATATCTTTGTGACATGTGTAGTCAAATATTTCTTAGATTGCAAAAGCACTAACCATAACAGAAAAAGAGAAAAAAAGGTAAACTGTACTTCATCAAAATTAAAAGTTTCTACTCTTCAGAAGACTTTGTTGAAAAATAAAAAGGCAAGTCACCTTCTAGGAGAAATATTCACAACCAATATATACGACAAAGACTCAAATCCAAATTATAGAAAGAACTTTTATATATCAAAAGACAAGCAATCCAAGTAAAGATTGCCAAAATCTTGGAGACATACTTCACAAATGAGGATACAAGAATGGCCAATAAGAGACATGAAAAGATGTCACTGCACCAGAAGGGGGTTCTCTGCCTGATGCACATAAAAAACCGATAGTTATGCCACTGGCTTTTGAGAAAAGAGAAGGCTTTATTGCAAGATTGACCAGTGAAGAGACAGGAGGCAAGGGTCTCACATCTGTCTCCCTGATCCAGGGTTTGGGGCAAAATTGATGAGGTTAGGGGAACAGGCTGGTACACGGGAATGCTGGTGGGACGGGGTTCCACTGGAAGGCTTTCAACATTCATGGTAAGGTGTGGAAGGGGCGTTAACACCAGGTCTTCCTAGACAATGTACCCCTCACTTCTGATGACAGTCCAACTTTCAAGTTCCAGTCGAGTCCCAGTCCTTTGGTTCCATGGCAGGGGGGGACATCTTTGGTTCTGGGTGTCATTTCAAGTCAAGATTTTCTCCTTTCACATGCTCTGGCTGCACGACTTGCATCTTTTTGGCTTGCCCCTGAAAAACAGCTTTAACCTTCTGTTGAGAAGATGGGGTCAGTTTGAACTGGTCCTAGAGAGCCTGTGGTTACAGTGTTAGTTATCAGGGAAATGCAAACTAAAACCAGAATGAGATACCACGATACAGCCCCTAAAGGGCTTTAAATTTAAATGACTCCCAATAACAAGTGCTGGAGAAGATGCAGAGTGACAGGATTTATCTGATGCTTGCTGGTAGGAGTGTAAAATAGTACAACCAGTGTGGAAAATTGTTTGATAGCTTCTGATAAAAATTGAGTGTACACCTACCTTGTGATCCAGCAATTTCACTCCAAGGTATTTTTCCAGCAGAAATGAAAACATATTCCCACACAGATATTTGTAAAATAGTGTTTACTCTAGGCTTATTCATAATAGCCAGAATTTTAAACAATTCAAATGTCTATCAACAGGAGAATGAATAAACAATGTAGTATATTCCAACTATGCAATATTAGTAGTAGAAAGAAATGAGCAATTGATGTACACCTGTGGATGAATGTCAAAAATATCATGTTGAGGGAAGGATGCCGGACATGGATATATACTGTATGTTCCCATTTTTATGAAGTTCAAGAACTATTTTGTGGGAATGTAACTCACGATGGTAGCTGTTCAGTGCTTGGGGAGAGAAATATAGTATTAAGAGACATGAAGGGACTTTCCAGGATGAAGGCAATACTCTACGTCCTGCTGGATGTTGGTTCTATGGGTACATATATTTTTAAAAATATCACAGAGTGCACTTAAGATCTGCAGATTTTAGTATATGTAATTATACCTCAATAAAAATATGAAAATGCATACCCTAATTATCACAACTGTTATGAATATTTTCTTGGTTTATTAAATGAGGCATTCAATCAAATATTCATTTTGATTGCATTATGAATATGAAACATGCTGATTACTAATTCATATTCCTTTGGAAACCTAGAGGCAGAAGCAAAAACTACTGTGTGTGACAGGAAGATGGACTCACTCATCCCTCAGCATTTTCAGTTTCAGTCTCTTGTCTATTAACATGGTAATTGCCTTTAATGACTTTGTTCTCCTCAATGTAATCAGACAGGAAACTTTAGATGGAAAAATGCATAAATTATTCTAACTCCTGCCAGGAAAAGAATCGAAGACTTTAATCAGCTTCTGTGCATTTTATTCTCCATGTTAGGAAGTTTTCTTTACCTTCATACTTAACTGGCAGGGCCTCTGTCTGGAAGGAGCAGTCTTTAGTTCACCCATCAAGAGGACAATGTTCCCAGCACGGGGGACAGATGGCATTCCTGTGCAAAGAGGGTCATCTGTGCTACAGAAGCTTGTGCAACTCATTTGCCTTTTTTCCTGAAGGCTTCCTAAACAGATCTTTCCTTACTTCTTGCAAAACCTCCACAGTCCACGTTCTCAGTATTTGGGGCGGCAAGGAGTCTGTGCATTTAACTCCTCCATCTAACCCAGTAATCCCAGCCAGGAAGCAGGCGGGAGAGCTAGGTGGAATCCACTTAAGAGTCAAGGTGGATAATAACAGTGCACGATTTTGGTGGGTCCTGCTTATGGTCCAGTCCAGGTGCCATGGAGAGAGAGGAATAAAGCAAACTGAACAGTCTTCCTTCCGGTTTTGAAACAGGCCACCTCTTCTGCTGATGTGCAATTCAGCACTTACTGAGTGAAGGAAACACTGAGCAGAAGACATTTTGTTTGATTCTGAACTGCATCAATCGAAATGTTAGTTGCAAAGAGATCTCCTATGCAGAGCCGCTTCAGCGTTCAAATATTTCTGGAGGAACCCAGTGCACACCTACATTATAGGCAAAAAAGCAAGTCATCCAATGGTAAAATTTGTGGTGCAAAGACCTGTCACAGGTCTAGAATAGAAGTTTGGGTTTGGAAAATGTTTGGGGTCAGGAATGAGGATCCAGTTGTGAAGGCTAAAGCTGAAACAGATTCAGATCTGGAACGTGGGCATGTAACAGCCCCAAATCTCAGCTTCCTCATCTGTAAGATGAGGATAAAGATACCCTGTCCTATCTGCAACCCAGGAGAGCCTTTCTGTGAATTGGAAAATAAACAGAAAACACTTTTTGGAGAGGTAAGAGGTATATACACAAGAAGCTGTGGTTGCCGTGGCTACTTGCCGCTGTTCCTCAGCCTCCCTTTGAGGTTGATGATAGGTCTGGATTTCTTTTGGACTCATAGCTCGGCTCACTTTCATCCTCTTAAGTACCAGAGCCTTCTCATCATGAATTTGCTTAGAGAGCTATTGCCGACCTGTGCTCTTTTGGGCACTTCTATTTTATCTCATTCTTTTGAATGCCCCATTCGTACGTATGAATGCCCATTCTGGCAGGAATGGTATGTGTGTTTGTGTTTGATAATTGGAAAAGAGAAAATATATAATATCATTTCCTTCCCATAGAGGATTCTGAGTTGCATGTAAAACCTGAAGAGGAGATGTCTCGGTCCACTTAGCTGGAGTATAAGGGTCTCCACGACAGGACCCGAGACTCAGAGGACGTCACGGAGATCATCTCAGTCTTACTCTCCTTCTTTTCAGCTCTGCTTTCTTTGGCATTCGCTTCATTTTCAGAAGAACTCAGGCTCTTCCCTAATGGTCTCAGAATGGCTGCTCTCAGCTCCAGGATGACAATCTATCTGTCTTAGTCAGTTCCGGCTGCCATAACAAAGTACCATAGACTGCGTGGCTTATAAACAACAGAAATTTCTTTCTCACAGTTCTGGAGGCTGGAAGACTGAGATCTGGGTGCCAGCACGTTAGAGTGAGGGCCCTCTTCCAGGTTGCAGACTTCTCCTATGACCTCACGTGGTGGAAAAGGCTAGGGATCTCTCTAGAGCCTCTTTTGTAAGGACATTAATTCCACTCACGAGGACTCCACCTTCATGACCTAATGACCACCCAAAGGCCCCACTGCTAAATGCCATTATATTGGGCTTAGGGTTTCAACATGTGAATTCTGGGGAGACACAAACATTCAGTCCATTGCTCTATCTTATCAGCTGCCCAACAACAGAGAAAAGGTCTCTTTCCTGATGGCACAAATGAAAGTATGACGATTAAGTCTCATTGGCTTGGATGGTCTGCTGGCTACACCCTACACCAAGCATGGTGACCAGGGCCAATTCAGGACTCTGGTTGTCTCAGGTCTGGGTCACATGAACAGTAAGAGGAGCCTGAGTGGGTCTCAGGAAATAGCAGGGTGCTATCAACAGAAGAAGAATGCTGAGCACACAAGATTAACACATATCTGCTTCTCCAAGGCCTGGAGCTCACTACTGTCTTATTCATGTGTAGACTACCAGGCTGATATTGATGTTGTGTGTGGCCCTGTGAGTGCTCCATTGGGAGCAACATGGGGGCTTCCTTGCCCCTGTTAAAAGATGCTCCATCAATTATTCTCTTCTCCATCTAACATGAAGCCTCGGACTTGTGATCAAGAAGTAATTCCATATGGAAATTCCTCAAAAAGTTCTTTTCTTTGGCTATTCAGTGAGAAGCATATTGCTTCAACAAAGATAGTCAAGCAGTAATTTGTTTTTCAGACTTTTGCGTGTTTTAATTTTGATTGACGTATTAGTTTCCTATGGCTGCTGTCACAAATTACCACAGCCTCAGTAGCTTAAAACAACACAAATGTATTATCTCAGGGTTCTGGGGGGTCAGAAGTCTGACATGGGTCTCATTGGGTAAAACCACTGTGTTGGCAGGCTGCACTCCTTCTGCAGGCTCTAGGGGAGAATCCATTCCCTTGCCTATTCTAGCTTCCAAAAGCACCCTGCATTCCTTGGTTCATGGGCTCTTCCTCCATCTTTAAAGCCACTTTGACAATCCTGCCTCCCTACTATAAAGACCTTGGGATTGCATTGAGGATAATTGAGGATAAAGTTCCCATTTCAATATGCTTAACTTAATCATATCTGCAAAGTCCCTTCTGTCATGTAAGATAACATAGTCATGGGTGCTGGGTGTTAGGACATGGACATCTTTTGTTTTTTTTTTAAGGTATGCATTTTGGTGAGGAAGATTAACTCTGAGCTAACATCTATTGATCTATTGCCAATCTTACTCTTTTTTTTTTTCTCCCTGAACTCCCAGTGCATAGTTGTATATCCTAGTTGTAAGTCCTTCTAGTTCTTCTATGTGGTACGCTGCCACAGCATGGTTTGACGACAGTGCATAGGTCCGTGCCCAGGATCTGAACAGGAGAACTCCAGGTCGCCAAAGTGAAGCATGTGAACTTAACCACTATGCCACTGGGCCAGCTCCACATGGACATCTCTGAGAAACTATTATTCTGCCTACCACAATTGGCTTCAGGTTCTTGGATTCCATGTATATACCTACTTTTCATGAAAATGTCCTAGCATCCCCTACATTATTATTTTTTTTCTCAAGGTCTATCTTCTAATTTTCATATCTTTCTTAGATTTTTGAAAACACATGCTTAAACCCTTTCTCAACTCCAGCTCAGGTGAAGTCTCTAATATTGCCACCACATTTTGCCAAGTATAATTGAAAATAGAGAGTTTATTAAATTTGTTTAGACTTGCATTCTTTTAAGCCTAGGGTGCATAATAATTTGATAAGATAGAGGCTGACCACAGAAGCTATGTGTTGTAAAGTAATTTAATACATTTTTTCCCTCTCAAGCCAAACTATGAGTTCAAGTTCACAGGAAGAATTTAGTTTAATTATAAGTTGCAAGGAAGGAGCAAGAATGTTGAACTGGAAGATGTATGAGAGAGCTTACACTAATGAATGTGATATTTGTTCATATCTTCATTTTCAGTAGAATTCATTTGTTGCTGAAAAGAACGTGGTTATTTATTAGACACTGACTTTACACTTGTCTTTGACATGATAGGCTGAAGTTTTCTCAGGTTTATTTTATTCCCAATGACTGATGTGTGACATCTATCAAATGATGCCTATTCTCATACCTTTATTTTTTCTTTTGCTCTTGGAAGCTTTTCCAGGAATCCTTTTCAGGAAATGCTATTGGATTTGACTCTTAGCCTTGATTTCTTCCTTAGTACAATGCCTTTTCAACATTTAGAGATAAAGTGAGAGTGACATGTTTGCATTATAAAATAAAACCAAGCAAATTACTTACCTCTATTGAGGTAAAAGACATGCATTACTGTTTTCTCTTTATTTTATGTGGAAGACCTTCAAGTGCCTTAGAAAATGTCAAGGATGAAACATCCGTAGATGCCAAGGTCAGAAGAGCTTGGAAAGAGAAGAGAAAGACAGAGTGAGCACCATAGCCCTAGACGATAAGCTAGGTCCTCAATTAACTAATCAATTGATCATTTATTTGAGCCTCCATTGAGTGAGAAGATATGTCTTGGTAGAGTAAAAATATATTTAAAGCTTGATAGTGAAATTGCAAGACCTCCTATAGTGTTGTCCTTCTACTTGTCCATTTTTCAGTGATTTTACCTTATTTAAAGTATTTTCACTAACTGAAGCCTAGGTATCTTTGCCACCAATATGGAAAATATTAAAATAGACATAAATAGATTTAACCATTGTCACGTCTTTTATTATAAATTTCTCCCAAACTGCATAGTTAATATGATCTATAAGCACGAAAGTAGTGTGTTAAAAATTGCCTCAGCTCAGAGAACATATAAGGCAAAAACAAGGATTACGTAGCTTTCTACAGAAAATTGTGTGATAGGAGGAGGAATTTGAGGAGGAAGTGTGAAAATTTGCTCTTTTTTCTTTTTTAGAGAAAACACCCAACAGATGCTTTGAGATTTTAAAAATGTTTTTCAGTTGCACAGGGAACAGAGTTTCTGCAGAAAGGTTGAATTTACAGAGCAGTACTCTAAAGTGGGCAACTTTGTGGCCAGGTTCAGCTGGTTCTGCAGGGCGTGAAGGTTTGTACAAGGGACATAAGCTTCTGACTCTAAAGGCAGACACAGTCTAGGATGCAATAAAACGCAGGCACATGCTTATTATGATGAAATAGTTTAAGAAGCAATAATTAATCTTGGGTGGCTCAAATACTTCTTTAAGGCAACATTGTAATGGATCAACAATTGGCACAGTGGTTCTTAATCCTTCAAATATGATGGTGACTGCCCCACCCTCTATCCACAGCTCTCCCCTTTTGCTTTGGTGGCTGGCACGGTGGATGGACCTTGGCCTCTGTCATTCAGCAGCAGCCAGTAATTCCACCTCCATTTCCCACTCTTCCTCAAATTCCCACGTATGACCTTTCAAAGAACTGGTCACTCCTGGGCAAAGAATCTTGGTCCTAAGAATGCTCTTTGCTTCAGTATATATGGCATGGATCACTTCTTATTCTTGAGAATCATTTCTACATCTATCATGTAATGTAGTCATAGCTACAGTCGATATTTTCCCCTGAGTATTGGGAAATTTGTTCAAATTTTGGAGGATGGGCTGTACACAGACAACATTTTAGTATACTGTTGAGAGCCAAGAATAAATGCCTTAATACTTATGTCTGAGTCTAAGAACATCTATTTTAAAAGTTGCACATATTCGTCATGTTAACTTATTTCCTATTTCCGATAAGGTTGAATGAATTCCTGTCTTATATTCATGGTGAAATTTGTACAGAAGTAAAAGCCAACAGGATGAAAAATTTCATACTTGAAATGAATGATACCAATATACGCAATAAAATATCACAGAGGTTGTTGAGATGTCTTTTCTAGAGTGATGCAAGGGCTTTCTTCTATCATTTCTTATTAAAAAAAAAAAAAGATGACATAATGCATGTGCTGGACAATGTCTTACTTGAGCAGTGGAATTCTGAACAGTTTCCAGTAGCCTGTGTTTATATTCTTTGGCAAGCCACTCAGGTTCAGTACTGTGGGTGGGATCTCCATTAGACATGTTTAGCAATATAGTAGTATCTTTTCACTTCCAAGCTATCTTCTCTGTCCTTTCCTTTCCATTTCCCCTTTTTTTGGTAATTGTATCAACCATACATACTCTTAATTCTAAATTACACAGTGTGGCAATGATAATTATGTTGTTGACTACTTTTGCTAGAGAACAAAAACACCTCCCAAGAGTTCTGGTGATCATTCTCACAGTCTGCCTTAGGGTAATGTAAATTCGGAAATCAGTCTTTGATGATGACTCTTGACTCACGCTCAAGAGCATTAGAATTTACATGTACAGTAGCCACCACCTGCATCTGAAGATTTGAGAGAGAAGCGTGAACGAAGTGTGTAGTTCTTACTGCCTTTATCACACTGCTCTCCTGCTGAAAGGCTTTCCTATTGCTTTTTGGCTCAAAGCTAAAATTCTCCAGTTCTGACATCCAGGTTATCATTAAACACATCTGACAACCAGCCAATCTCTCCTTTATGACTTCCCTTGATCCACTTTTAGTTCTAATCAAACTGGTCTCCTATTCCATTAGACGTCCTTCGAATCCCCAAACCCCAGCCTTGGCTGATCTCCCACTTCCAACATCCATTTTGGACGGCTGTCAACTGCTCTCCCTTTGCCAATTCACATCCTGCAGGTGCTTTTAAAGCCAGGCTGAACATTCCGACCGGATAAGCAGACTTGTTAAATTAACCTTGATTCAGGATCACCTTTCCCTTCCTTCGAACTCTTTCACCATCCATGCACACACTACGTGCCATGCTTGCTCTTCCTCATCTTTGTGTTGGCCTTTTCATTTCTATCTGGCTTTTTTTGTACATGTATTTGTTTCTCCAGGGGAAGATAATCTCATCTATTTCTTTTGACTCTCTCATAGCAGCTGGTGCGAATCTTTGGTACACTAGGAGTTCAGGGTATTCTCATTAATGGATTTTCTTTATACAATGAAAAATACTATCTGGTGAATGACATTTTATTAATCTTTTACAACTCTCCCAAACATAGCTTTCTACAGAATTTTTAGTACTAACTTGAAAATGAGCAAAATAATAAAGATGATTTATAAAAAGTAGTTTCTAGGAAACCACCTAGTGTTAGATTCTAGATACATTCCTCTCCCTTACTCCATCTGTACTCAGGTTCTCAGTGGAAAACCAAGGTCCAGAAGTTAGTGCAAAGTCCTTATTCAGATGTGGTTACTCAGCAGCATCGATGAAAAGAAATGAACGCATTGAATAGAAATGTTTAACTATGATGGGGACAAAGAGGACCTTTCATTGCAAGCCTCTGTTATCTTAATCATTTTTTTGATCCAAACATCTACATATTGATAGACAGTTCAAATCAAAGGAGATTTTACTGGATAAAAATTTTATGAAGATTAAAATAACATTTAATTTGTATTTTTAGACATTACCACAAAGGAAATGCAAACCTGCTTGAGAAAATCTTATAATAGTTAATTTAAAGATAATTTCATAGAATCACACTTCTTAACTATCTGTAGGCAAAGACCAAAAGTTTCATGTCCTACTGATCATGGAGTGAAGATTTTGTAAAATACAAAACCATGCCCATGGCTGCCACAGTAATGTTAAGTTTCTAGAAAACTTTCCAAATGCTTACCCTCACTTTCTGTACTTATCTTGTGGGTGGATAACTAGTGCTCCATGGGTGCCAACAATCTGTGAACCCCACTTTGAATAGCAATGTTATGGACTTCAGTAAAACAAAAGACTTAGGCCAGAAAAGGATTGCTATGCTTTCTTGCAAGAAGGAAAAAGGAAAACTTTAAAAAACCATATTCACGGGCTGGCCCAGTGGCACAGTGGTTGACTTCTCATGCTCTGCTTTGGTGGTCCGGAGTTCGCAGGCTTAGATCCCAAGTGCAAACCTAGCACCACTCATCAAGCCAGGCTGTGGTGGCATCCCACACAAAATAGAGGAAGATTGGCACAGATGTTAGCTCAGGGCCAGTCTTCCTCACACAAAAAATAAACAAACAAAAAATAAAAACTCTATCCAGTAAAAATAAAGTTTTAGCAAGCAAGTACTTATAGATGAAGGTAGGATAGTTAGGAACCTGTGAAAGATGTAGTGACTTGGTTGTATTCAATGCAAAATGTTCTAGGCAGCAGATTCAGTTCACTTTGAACAATGGTACCAATGCAAAATGAAATGGGCCAAGAAGTCTAGAAAAGTCTTCCAACTTTTCTTGTGAACAGATAAATGGACAAGATGAAGTTGATTGGTCAACAGGAGATAGAAGTCAAACATATGAGTGCGTAATTCTAAACATGCTTTGGTGGCTGCAGGAGGGTTAGGGCTCTGACTTTCTACAGTCTTTCATTTTCTTCTCCACTTCTCAGGATACACCCTGGGGCAGTGACGAAAAGGTACAAGAGGAGATGATAACTAGGGGACAGAGATGGGCTGAAGTCAGCAGACCTTCCAGGGCATCCAGCCTTGGAGGGTGGCCACTGTCCAGGGTCCGATCCTCAGATTTGCAGGTGCTGAAATCAATTTTCATGAGTGAACTTAGGGTTGGAGGGAACCAACAACCCTACAGCATTCAGTCAGGACTGATGTGTAGACCAGAAGGCCAGGTCATTAACTAAAATTGGCACCAAAATAGCCAATAAATTGCCACTTTTCTGTTAGCAAGTGGGTGCATGTTCTCCCTGATGGAAATGCTATACAGGAAATCAGTAGAAATTGGAAGGTATTTTATGAGCGTGATATTAGAACATGAGGAAATGAATACTATTTGGATGACATTAATGTCCAGTGTCATCAACCAATAAAAATTTGATGCATCAATCTCTCTCTGTCTCTCTCAAGATACACCTATAATTGGTTTTGCTCTTCAGGTTGTTCTCCCCATTGGAAATGCCAGGGACGTGCTCGTAAGCTTCAAGGCTTCCCTCTCTCTTTGGAATCCCACGCGAATAACCCCTTCTTCGGATTTGTTAATGACGTTGAGTTGGTTATATTTGTCTTTTACATTTAGTTAAAAGTTTACTAAGGATTCTGTTTTGACATGAAAGATGTCCTGTCATTTAAGGGAACTGTGCAGTGACATAATCTCTACACTCTAAGTGTGGATTTCACTAATTCACCTCTCAGTGGGCAATGTTGTTCCCAAGTTCTTTGCAGGCTTCAAAAATATTGATATGATGCACCAACGATCTTTTTTCCTTAAATAAATGTGTACATCTGTAGGTGTATGTATACCTATCCCCCTGTATCTTATGATCATAAATATTCCTATGATTTTCAGCGCAAAACATGGATCTTATATCTCACTGCTCATTGTCAGTTTGCTATCAGGTTGTATTATTCAACTTGATTTTGCTAAAAGAAAGAGAAATTCCATTTCTCTTATGTAAAATATGATTAATAGATACTCAGCTTAAGTTTCATATGTGTATAATTATATAGTTAAGAAAACTTATGCCTCAACTGCTAACCATTAATATTAGGATAGTAAAAAATAAGAAAGAAATAGTAACAGAGCAAATTTATAACATTGATGTTGAGTACAGACAGAATAAATTATATCTAGCTTAGATTTTGCTACTCTAAGAATAACGTAGGAAAATTTATTTCTGACTATGGCAAATTATAAACCTTCAATTAATAACTTAAGGTGTGATGAGTTTTTACACTATTTAAGTAAGATACTGCAGAGTTTTGTCCTTTTGTAATATATATATACACACACACTGTATGTCTATATGTATATATAGAACCCCTGAATATATGTGTTTACATGTATGTGTGTATATATGGAGAGGTATGTATGTGTGTCTTTATTTTCCAAACTCATGTAGCAATTAGTATATACAAGAAACTAAAAATTTAGATTATGCTTATTCAAAGACCCAAAACAAACAACAAAACTGAGTAGATTTCTTAAACTAAGTCTTAAAGCAATTTTAAAAATTCTCTTTTCATAGATTAATGGAACAGAATACAGAACCCAGAGATAGACACACACAAGCATAGTCAACTGACTTGACAAATGTGTGAAAATAATTCAGTGGAGGGGGAAGAGGAATGGACCTTTCAACAAATGGTGCTGGAGAAATTGGACATCCATGGATGAAAACTGGAACCTCAATTAAACCTCTCACCTTATACAAATTAACTCAAAATGAATCTTGGGCTTAAATGTAAACCCTAAAACTATAAAACTTTGGAATTAAGGCAAACAGTTTATAGACTTTCTGCCAAAACATAATCTTTAAAAAGAAAAATTGCTAAATTATACTTCATCAAAATTAAAAACTTATTGTCTGAGAAAGGCCATAGGAAGAGGATCAAAAGAGAAACTACAGACTCAGAGAAAATACTTGCAACCAACAAAGGACTAATATCTAGAATATATAAAGAACTTTTAAACTCAACAGCAATAAAACAAACAATCCAAATAGAAAACGAGTAAGACACTAACAGACATTCTGCCAATCGGGATATATGAACGGCAAGTAAGTGCCTGGAAACATGCTCAACCTCAGTAGCCATCAGAGAAATGCAAATTAAAACCACCATGAGCTATCACTGTGCACCTATTAGAGTGGCTAAAATAAAAAGTAGAGACAACATCAACTGCTGACACAGACGAGGAGAAACTGGATCACTCATGCGTTGCTGGTGAGGTGTAAAATGGTGCAGGCACTCTGGAAAGCAGTTTTGCATCTTCTTATAAAACAAAACATGTAAATGCAATACAACCTAGTGATTGTACCTGGGAGCATTTAGTCCAAAGAAACGGAAACGTGACACCAAAAACTATACACAAATGTTCGTCAGAGCTTTTTTCATAACAGCCCCAAACTGGAAACAGCTGAGATGTCCTTCAATAGATGAACGTTAAGCAAACTGTGGACTGTCACTCAGCAATAGAAGGGAACAAACTGTCGATACACACAACAACTTGGATGAGCCATCAGGGAATATATTGAGTGAAAATAGTCAATCAAAAAGGTTACATACTTTGTGATTCTATTTACATAATATTTTTGAAATAACAATTTTGAAATGCAGCACTTATTAGTGGTTGCTAGGGGCTAGGTCCTGGGAGGGTAGAGAGGGTAGGCAAGCAGGTGGGTGTGGCTTTCAAAGGAAAGAAGAGAGATACAAAACTATTCTATCTAGATGGTGGTGGGGATACACATGTGATAAAACTGTACAGAACTAAACACACACACACAGACTAACAAGTAAAACTGGGGAAATCTCAGTGATTGGTGGATTGTACTGATGTCAATATCCTGATTGTGATACGGCACTGTAGTTTTCCAAAGGGTTACCATTGTGTGAAACTGGGTGAAGGGTATGCAGGATCTCTCTGTATTATTACTTGCAAGTGCTCTGCATGCACAATTATCTCAATAAATATTTCAACTAAAAAAAAAACGCTCTCTTTTCATTGATTTCCTTTAGATGTGCCATTTTGGGTTGCCCTTCCACTGAGTAGAAAGAAATGGTTGCCCTTGGTCAAGGCTGGCCCTAACCCATTGGTCAGTTTTATACGAGCTATGGGTCACATGTGGACTGCAGCCTGCCCATTTAACAAAGCCCAGCCTTGACGACATCATCTTCTCAAAGCTAACCATCCACGTGACGTATACAGATGTTTTTACAGCTCTCTTTTTCTGCTGGATTCTTAAAATAGATCCCGTGAGGAGCTACCTCTCCCCTGAGGTCATGCCCAAAGCTCTGGATGTCCCACCAGGGCCGTGTTCTTGGTTGGATTGCCCAGTAGTGCTTTCTCACTATTAAAAACAAGTTGCTTTTCAAAAGGATATGAAAGTTTGAATGTGTTTTCAAGAGTCCATGAGTGCTCAGGCACATTAATTTCACCCAGAATCAGAATGTACGTTTGTACTTTTACATCTATAACAAGTTCAAGGGCATTCTCAACACTTTCATGATTATAATAGTAGTAAAAAAAAATCCTTGTCTTTGATCCTACAAATACAGGCTCTGAAACTTGTGGAAAAAAATTTCTTGCAGTAATAAATATAACTGCAGAGTAAGCCAGCCTGGAATAATGCAATTACTGTTTTAGTTACATATTTCTTCTACTCCACAACCCTCAGTTTTCCTCTCTTTTCTCTTATCTCATGAAGAAAAATAAGAAATAATATTCCCCTAAGTAATGTCCTATTCTTCCTATTTAAAAGCAGCAATATGACCATCCAACAGAGGTCCCTTCAGGGCTTCAAGGATATCAACTGATTCAGCAAGTAGGCAGGGTTTTCCGTGAGGGTTACTACATAGCGTTGAATGAGCCGTCCTCCATAGGGAGGGCTGAGGGTTAAATGAAGGGAGATACCAACAGCTCCTGACTTATCACAAACTCAAGTGGGGAGAATTAAGACACCCCACCGTTCACTGCTCAGCTGTTACCTTGCTCTGATGATCATCAGGAATCTTCCAGTCTCTCTCAATTTTGCTCTGCTTTGGCTCTTCTTTTCCTGAAGTTCAGATGCCTCAGCTTCCATCCTAAAACTTGGGGAAAAAAAAGAAACTATAAATATCTTTAGTGCCTTGCAATTACTTTGTGAAGGTCTGATCTGGCCCCTGCTGGCTCTTGAATGAACCTTCCAGCAGGCATTCACTACTCGGCAGTAGCCAGCGTGAGCCTTCAAAGACTTGTAGTCTTACATAACCCAAGTAGGTTAGTGAACTCGAACAAAAATGCTGCATAAACTGCTGCCTGCCTATTTTGTACCTGTAACACCTCTACAATTTCTGTGAGGATGGGAGTGAATCTGGGAGCTCTCTAGTTCGTTAAACAGAATGTGTGCATACGAAGCTACCAGGAAGATATTTTATAAATGAATGTCAATATTTCCCCTTCCAATGTAATTAGATATTCTGTTTCAATTGAAGGTCCTTATTGCATCCAGAAAGGAAGAATGGAGCTTTCAAACATGCTACAGCTGGGCAGAGTTCAGCATCTGCACGGAAGAAAAGCAGGCCCAGCCACCCTCCAGCTTCAGAAGGAGGCAGCACAGAAGATGAAATCTGACTCCTTGGGGAGGGAGAGGCTCTGAGGAACTATCGGTCCAAAAAAGAAAGCAGGTAGTGTTAGCTGCTTGATGTCTAAAATTTAAACAGGCAAAGCAGGATTAAAATGAGGTGTAAATCAGAATAGGTGAGAAAATCCCCCTACTGCTTTAGGAAAAGAATCAACTAAATTCACGTACGGTTTTATCCACTTGTTTCCCATCTCCACAGACTTCACAAGATGTGCAGAGAATTTTGATTGCACAGTAGGAGAAAGATGTTGACACTCACCTCCAAGGATGTTGGAACTGCCCAAACAGAGCGGAGCTGCTGGAAGGAAGGATCTATTGGGAATCCTGGAACTCCTGGAGAGGCTCAAAGGCTGTTAATCTGACGCAATTTAAAGAGGGGTAATATACATGACAGGCAAGAAGATTATGCAAAAGCCGGGCTGTCCTTGAGGATGGGCTCCAGCTGCTCAGTGGGATGGGCAGTGGGGGCTGGGCTTCTTGGAGGGCAAGAGAGGCCGGGATGGGGCGATGCACACTCAGAACTGTAATCCCGACTCCCCACTTTGGCTGTGTAATATGGGCTAAATTATTCGACTACTCTGAGCATCTGTGCCCTTTCCTTAAAATGGGTATGAAACCTACTGAGCTAGGTTAATGCAGAATTTAAAGAAGGTTGTATAAACTACCCAGCATGTGGTAGTGATCAATGACTATTAACCCCTGCTCCAGACTTGTTTCCTTGACACACCTGCCACCGTCTAAATCAGTGCGTCATTAATGTGTACATCAAGGACACGAGAAGCACTTTATATCTCAGGAAGAACTTAGTGTACATTTTATATTCTTTCGGTAATTGAGGAAGCACTCTTTAGTAAAGTTAACCTAGATTTCCTGATGGATTTTGCATTAGAGACTTGACTGAAGGGAATGCACCAACCAGTCCCCTTTCTTTTTTTTTTTTTCTGCTTTATCTCCCCAACGCCCCCCTCCCCCCCATACAGTTGTATATCTTAGCTGCAGGTCCTTCTAGTTGTGGGATCCCCTTTCTTATCTTTGGGTGCCCAGTGCTTTTTGTCCTCTGAGCCCTCAATTTAACTACTCAGCACAGAACTCATAGGAGCCATGTGACTCCAGCCCTGGGTCAGCCAGCTTCCTGAAAGTAAGTAAGAATGAGGAGGATTATGCCTCTTCTCTATGTTCCACTCATCCAGGCTGGGGCAGGGGTCGGGGCCGGTGAGGAGGCGGGTATGGATGAAGACGGGGCGCAACTGGCCTTCCTGTAGAGACTTATCCACTTCACACCTCGATTCTCTCTGTTAAGGAGTATACAGAAAAAAGTGTGTTTATAAGAATAGACATCTGAAAAACACAAGATTAATAATTTGCAAAATATCTGAAAAATAATAACATCAACATTTATCAACTGCTGGTTACATGCCAGGCACTGTTCTCAGCACTTTACACGGATTAAGTCACACCATCTGCCAACAGCCCAGTGAAGGAGGTACTATCATTATTCTCATTTTAGGGCTTAGGAAACTCAGACCCGAGGGGGAGGGTCAGTGAATTGTTCAAGATTCCAGAGCCAATGGCAGGTGTCTGGATCCAAGGCAGACCAGCTCCTGGGTCTGGGCTCTTGACTGTTAATTTGTCTCATTGATTGATAACATATGGATCATTTGTAAATTTTCTTGCTCGGAGAAAAGCCCTTTCCTAATCCCAGGCTTAAATCCTTGGATTTATTTGTCAGTGTTGGTGCAGGGCATTAAGTACCTAGTCTCAGCAAAAAGCAATTATGACTTCATTTGAAACTCAAGTATATTAAGCATTGTTGATTTTGTTTTCAAGTGAAATAACCTTTCAGTTGGGTTTATTGGTCATTATTTTTCAGCAATTTGTTCAACGGCAAATAAATCCCATTGATGTTAGTCATGTTGTGCAACAGGAAAAAATCTATTACTCTCATTAATTGTCTCCTAGGGTGGAAAAGCCTAACCGCAGAGCATTCCACAGATACCACCCAAGGGGAAAGAAACAGAGGGGTAAGCTTCGGGCGAAAGCAGAGCCCTTAGGTGCCCACTTAATTGTAATTTCAGGAGCACAGAGAAACAATAAGAGAACAACTATCATAAAAAGAAAATAATGCAAGTAATATCAATAGCCAGTGTTACTGGCGCGCACTGCATCCAAGCCTGTTGTCTGCCCTGACTTGGGGAGACTCATTCAACCGGGCCCCAGGAAGAAAGAAGGTCTGATTCATACCGCATATTATTGTGATCTTATAATCTTACAGAATGTTGGAATTTATGCCCATTTTACCCAAAGCAAAACACTTTTATGGTCATATGGCTTTGGTATAGGTCTGGATGTCACCAGTTACTAGTGGGATGACCGTGGACAAGTCAGTTCAGGTCTCTGAACCTCAGCTCCCCAGTTCCGGCTCCTGTAAATGGCAATACTGAGCCCCCGTGATGGTACGGTGGTCTCTCCTTATCTGAAGTTTTACTTAGTGTGGTTTCAGTTACTTGTGGTCAACTGCAGTCCAAAAATATTCAATGGAAAGTTCCAGAAATAAACAATTCATAAGTTTTATATTCTGAGTAGCGTGAAGAAACCTCCCAGCATCCTGCTCCATCCCAGCCAGAATGTGAATCATCCCTCTGTCCAGCGTATCCACGCTGTGTCCACTACCTGCTGGCTAATCACTTAGCGGCCATCTCGGTTAACAGACCAACAGTCACAATATAATAGTGCTTGTGCCAAGTCACCTTTACTTTCCTTAATAATGGCCCCAAAGTGCAAGAGTAGTGATTCTGGCAATTCAGATACGCCAATGAGAAGCCTTAAAGCACTTCCTTTAAGTGAAAATGTGAATGTTCTGTACTTAATAAGGAAAGAAAAAGAAATCGTATGCTCAGGTTGCTAAGATCTATAGTAACTTTTACTACAGGATATTGTATAATGGTTCTATTGTATTAATAGCTACGTTACAGCACAAAAAAGGAGTTCTCTGCACGATGTGCATTAAAAAAGCCAATTATTGCGCCACTAGCTTTTGAGAAAGGAAAAGGCTTTATTGTGAGGTCGACCGGCAAGGCGACACTGGACAAAGTTTTCAAGTCCGTCTCCCACATTCAGGTTTTGGGGCAAAATTTAAGAGATTAGGGAGAACAGGCTGGTACATGGAAACTCTGGTGGGGCAGGTTTCTATCGAAGGGCTGTAAGCGTTTATGGTAAAGCTTTGAACACCGATGGCGAGGTTTTAAACATTTATGGTAAGGTATGGAAGGGACTTTAACACGGATCTTCCTAGACAACAGACCCTGATTCTGGTAAGAGTCCCACTTTCAAGTTCCAGTTGTGTCTGGGCCCTTCGGTTTTGTGGGAGGAAGAATCTTTCATTCTGAGCGTTATTTCAGGTCAAGATTTTTCCCTCTGCATATGCCCTGGATACATGACTTGCATTTTGGCTTGCCCCGGAAAAACCTTATGTTGATGAGATGGGGTCGGATTGAACTGGCCCTAGCGGGCCTGTGGTTACAGTTATTGTTGTTAATATCTTACTGTGCCTAATTTGTAATTTAAACTTTATCATAGGTATGTATGTATAGGAAGAAACATAGTATATATAGGATTTGGAACTCTCCATGGTTTCAGGCATCCATTGTGGGTCGTGGAACATATCCTCTCAGATATGGGGGGTTACTGTGCAAGGGTTCCATGAAATAACGCAGGGAATGTGCTCACACAGTTCCTGGCACAAAGTGGTCAATAAATGGGAGGCGTTATTATTGTTATCTGGAATGCCCTAAAAAGTGATCAAGCTGAGACAGTTATTTAAATTTTACCTGAAGCCAGATTTTTTCCCCTGAGCAGCTTTTGGCAGTAAAAGCAGGGGCAGATGCTGTATTAGTCTCCTAGGGCTGCCCTATCTTAAACTGAGGGGCTTATAACAACAGATATTGATTCTCTCACAGTTCTGGAATCAAGAAGTCCAAAATCAAGGTGTTGGCAGCGTCATTCTTTCTCCGAAGGCTCTAGGAAAGGATCTTTCTCCAAGCTTCTGGTGTCTCTGGTAAGCCTTGGTGTTCCTTGGCTGGTGGCTGCGTCACTCCCATCTCTACCTCTCTCTTCACATGGCTTCTCCTTGTGTGTCTGTGTCTCTTCTCTACCTCTTATATCGACACCAGTCATATTGGGTGTGAACCACTCTAATGACTTCATCTTAATTTGATTACATCTGCAAAGACCCTATTTCCAAAAAAGGTCACATTCATAGGTACCGGGGGTTGGGACTTGAACGTATATCTTTGAGGGGCTCAATTCAACTCACAACAGCTGCCCTGAAGATTTGGCTAACACACCTGTCACTGATGCATTGGGAGATATAAATCTATGAACTAAATTGTTTCCTATTAGCTCTGTGGAGTGAAAACACCAGTTTGGGATGACTCTGTCTGCCAGTTCTTGCCTAGTTTATTTTTTCTGATTCAGATGTATTCTTTATCAAGAACTACAAAACCACAGCATAATTTTTGGAAATCTCAAGATTACATTGAGAAAAGAAAACATTGCTCAGTTATTAACTTTAAGGAATGCTCAAGGCTGAAGATAGCACCATGAAAGCCAATAACAATAGAGAACGTTCAGTCGATTCCGCCCCAACCAACCTTCACATTTTGATGTGTTCCTATTTGTTCTTTGCCCGCCTACCAGGCAGCGCTTGACTGTGGCGTTTAGAACACCTGGATGCAATTAGCGCCAGTCTCAATCCACACACGCAGAGAAGAGAAAAATGAAGGCATTGAACAACTTTGATCTTTACTGGAATTTGTATAATTAGTCCACAGTAATTACTTTTTTAAAAAATCCAATGCTGAAAGCCTTTCCTCCCCTCCATTTTTACGTTGATGATATTGTAGAACATCATTATTGATATCTAGGAAGCAAAGGGTTGAACGAAGTTCTGTCTACTTAAGAGATGGTCAGCACAACCCTTGGCAAGCTGCATCTTGTGGGCCATTCTATTTTGAGTGGGGGTTCATCTTCTCCAGCTCTTTACTGCAAAACCACAGTGCTCATTGCTGTTAGAAGGGAGAGAGTCCATCCTCTGGAAGCACAGGTGGGTCAGAGAGCTCCCCAAACATTCAATTTACTTATAGGGAAACCAAAGCCCAATCAGACAGCTGGAGTGACGACAGGTCTGAAACCAAGGTTTCCTGATGAATAGAAACCCCATTCCCCTCCTTAACTTCCCTTCTCTACCAGCTCTAAGGAGCCAGTCATTTGCTTTCTGTCCCTGTAGATTTAGCTATAGAGACAGGATCACCATGCCATTGATGGACAGTTCATATACATGGAATGGATGAT